TACTACTACTACTACTACTGTGCTACTGTTATTGCTACTTTACTACATCTGCATTACTACTACTATATTACTAATATACTAATACTATGCCACTATTATATAAATGCGGCGTCCGTGGCTAAGGCGTTGCGAGTCTGACTCGTAATTCAACGTACCGCGATCGAAATCTACGTGGGCTGCGTGGATTTTTATCGTGGTATGGGACGTCGCAGGTCGACCCAGCCTCAAATGGGTGCCAGGATGGGCTGTCCTGGGAAAGTAAAGACGGCTGGCGTAATGCTGACCACATTACCCACCGAGTGCCGATTGGTCATGGGTGCTCTTCCCATATGCCCGATGCGCCTAAGGGCGTGTAAAGGGATATTTACTTTTTTTTAAATTATATAAATACTACTACTGTACACTACTATACTACTACAATACTACAAATACATTACTACTATACTTCTAGTATATTAAAATTGTACTACTATTATCTTGCTACAAAATTACTTGGACTTTTCTATCATACCACAGCTAAGCTACCAATGCTAAAGTACTATAATACCACTAATGCTGCTGCTGCTCCTGCTGCTGCTGCTCCTGCTGCTGCTACTACTACTAGTACTTCACCTATTACAACTACTACTTACGCTGTTACTACTACAGCCTCAACTACCGCTGCAACAGAAACACAACAATTACTGTTAGCAGTACTATATCATTGTCTACAACACATACTAATATCCCTACCACCACCATTACTGCTTCTCATTCTACCCATACAACAAATGCTACTACAGATAAAAACAAAACTATAAGTTATTACTGTGTGAATAATAATAATAACAGCACTATATAAAGAACTGATAATGTATTGTCATTTTGTATGCAACATTGAAATATTTATTCATGTGCTTATGTATTACCTATGGCTTCCATACTTAGATGAGGCAACTACTGACCGCAAGCTGCTGACAACTAGCCCTAGTAAGTATGTGTCATTGATGGACCCGGCTTTCTGAAGAGGTTGTGGTCACTTCCTCAATATCATCATTATCAACATCAAGTGTTAGATCCTTTACAAAACGTTTCTCCCATCACAGACTGTCTGAAAGAAAACTCCATGCCTCTCTTTTGTGCTTTATGCACTTTCCTGCCAAGGTGTCTTTCATGGCGTGTGGCATCTTCGAGCTGATTGGCCATGCCCCTTCTGAAAACTGAGGTATGAGATTTACAGCACGTTGCAATAGCAGTCAAGGCCGGCGAGAAAGTTAATCCTCACTATGGCATCAAGTATTGGCAATATTAGGGCGATCTTGTGTAGTCCATACATCATTATCTCTCGATCGGTCTGTCTTATTGACTTCAAAGTAAGGAGAGGCAACACGAATACGTTTAAAAAAAGCATGCTGAAGAAGATACTGCAACAAAAGACGACATCTGTTCCCTCGTTGCCAGATGAAAAGTCTAGCCACCTAAACCAGTTCCGTCGTTGCCAAATAGAAAGTCTAGCCACCTACACCAGTTCCGTCGTTGCCACATGACAAGTCTAGCCACCTACACCAGTTCCGTCGTTGCCACATGACCAGTCTAGCCACCTACACCAGTTCCGTCGTTTCCTGATAAAAAGTCTAGCCACCTACACCAGTTGCGTCGTTGCCACATGAAAAGTTTAGCCACCTACACCAGTTCCGTCATTACCATATGAAAAGTCTAGCCACCTACACCAGTTCCCTTGTTGCCACATAAAAAGTCTAGCCACCTACACCAGTTCCCTTGTTGCCAGATAAAAAGTCTAGCCCCCTACACCAGTTCCGTCGTTGCCTAATGCAAAGTCTAGCCCCCTACACCAGTTCCGTCGTTGCCTAATGCAAAGTCTAGCTCCCTACACCAGTTCCGTCGTTGCCAAATGCAAAGTCTAGCTCCCTACACCAGTTCCGTTGTTGCCAGTTGGAAAGTAAGAATCAAGCAGTGAAATCTACAAGGCTTGTGCAAGCTTTGGGTGTTCTTGGCGTTGTGAAGCTAGTCCAGTAGTGGCGTGGGCCAATTAAAACACGATGAGCGGTATTGTTAACATCTCCAGAGGCTTTACGCCCATACCAGAAATAGTCACATCATGATGCAAATGCTAATTGAGTATCTGTTTATGTTCAGTACAATGGTGTCGTCTCTTCTTTGACCAAACATACAAGCTCTTTTTGTTTTTTCTTTTATGATTTCACAATGAAATCTGTAATCTTCCTTAAGGAAAGATCATACAATGCACTATGTTATATCCCTCATTGTTCTACAGTACAACGTGAATCGTGTGACATGATCTAAGAATTTGCAATGTAAATGTGTATAAAAACTTGCTTACCTTCCATTGTTGACTGTCATCAGGTGTCTTGAATGATTAACTGTTTATCACAGAATATGTAAGATTTGTAGAGCTATGCTCTGTGTAATAGGTGACTTGAGCACACGTCGTACATCTCTCCTACCAGAACTAATGGAAGTTGAGACCAGCATGCTGAGTGTACTCTTCTGGGTTGCTATCAGCGTTGCAGTACTTGTTACCATTATTGCCATTGCTGTGTATTGCATGACTCGCAGCAAGCCGACGAGGAAATCCAAACCGCAACCCAAGCCGCAGCCCAAACCGCAGGCAACGGTTGCAAGTAAGTTTATTCTAGCACAGCTAGACTTTTCACAGTTTCATGAATGCTTGGAATTTGTCTGTGCTGACTTGCCTCAGACCTAAGATAATTGATGTCTGTTTGTGCTGCCTTTCTGTCGGAACGAGGATAGTTGAAATTGTCTATGCTTAGTTGCTGTTAGAAGACACATTCTTTTGACTGACTGCCCTGATTAGCTGCACCAATGCAAATACATTATATCTGCCCTTGCAATTGTATAGCGTGAATGAGAATAATCGGCGTATGTCGTGTTGACTTGCTGCACGAATGGGAATAACTGATGTCTGTCTGTGCTGACTTGCTTCCTGAGTGAGAATAATTGTTATATGTGTGTGCTGACTTGCTGCAAGAATAAATTATGTCTATGTTTGCTTCAAAATTGCGAAGATCATATGGCGACTGCACATAACAATTTCGACACGTATATGGCCAATATATAGGCACACCGGTAACTTTTGAATTGACTGTTTCCAGTTATTTCAATGACCCCTTACACATTATGACGCTGGAGTTGTTGCAGTCATGCAGTACATTCTCTTGTTGCCAGCGCAGTGTAATAATCCGTGGGTTTAGAGTGTGAATGATGCTTGGCACTTCCTATGTGCTCTGCTGGTAAAACTAATTCCATGGAGGAGCAGATACAGCAGGGTGTTTCTGATCACAGGAGACGACCCCTTTTGATGAGTGTGCTGACCTCTTTTGATGTGTGCTGGCCCCTTCGCGTTCTTCAAACTCTCTTGGCTGGGCTTTCCAGGATAGCGGTACACAGCAATTTTCTGTATCAGGTTGTGCTATCAAATTTTTGGAAACACACTTGCTTCCTAATTGCAAAATACCTATGATAATTAACGAACAAAAAAATATTCGCTACAGATTTGGATTAAAATTGTATGCAGAGTCCCTTGAGCCTGTCTACAACTCTTACCCAAAGCCCGAATGGACATACCTTTACATCGATGGATCATTGGAGTGAGCAGCCAAATTTTGGAGGAGCTGGTTCGACCATCGTGCTGTAGGATGGGACCACAGTGGAAACGTCATTTTCCTCGGAAAAATATCAACAAACTTCAGAGCAGAGCAGCAAGTAATTATTGATGCAACGAAGGTGCTTGCGAAAATAAAATTAAAAACTGAAAAATTGTCTCCCTGTGTGACTGCATATCAATCCTTCAGGGCGAATCAAAGGAATACAGCCGCCAAAATGAAAGTGAAGTGACTTGCCACAGCTAAACACTTTAGAAAACAATCAAATCGGTCCCGGCTGACTGCTGCATAGCAGGAAATAGGTTGACGGACAGACTTGCAAACAAAATGATTCAATGGAGAAACAACACAACTATTCATTGTCCATACCAGAAACCAAAACACGTAACAAGGTAAAATGCAAGTGTTTTGGAAAGAACAAACCAACAGTAAATATACACAGACCACTTCAGAAGACTTAACAAGAAACAATATGCAAACAATTTTTTCTAAGAACACGACACGGTAGGCCAAACAATCAATCACATGCCCAAAAAAAAAAAAAAGACTGTACAGTCCCTACGATGTGCCAGACGGAACTACAAACACCTTAGCACATTCTGTTGGCCTGCCCACTGTACCTACAACTACAAACACCTTAGCATATTATGTTGGCCTGCCCACTGTACCTACAACTACAAACACCTTAGCACATACTGTGGGCCTGCCCACAGTACCTACAACTACAAACGCCTTATCACATACTGTTGGCCTGCCCACTGTACCTACAACTACAAACAACTTAGCACATACTGTTGGCCTGCCCACTGTACCTACAACTACAAACACCTTATCACATTCTGTTGGCCTGCCCACTGTACCTACAACTACAAACAACTTAGCACATACTGTTGGCCTGCCCACTGTACCTACAACTACAAACACCTTAGCACATTCTGTTGGCCTGCCCACTGTACCTACAACTACGAAAGGAAAATTGACCAGTTTAGGAAAATTAAGCAGAGAAAATTGTCGGGAACCTTGAAGGACAAGCAGCTGACATGCGAGTTTATAAATGAAGCCAATCTGACTGTCTGACCTGAGGATACCAAATTACTGGCGAAGAAAAAAAGGAAGAAGAAGAAGAAGAAGAAGATGAAGAAGAAGAAGAAGAAGAAGAAGAAGAAGAAGAAGAAGAAGAAGAAGAAGAAGAAGAAGAAGAAGAAGAAGAAGAAGAAGAAGAAGGAGGAGGAGGAGGAGGAGGAGGAAGAGGAGGGAGGAAGAGGAGGGAGGAAGAGGAGGGAGGAAGAGGAGGGAGAAAGAGGAGGAAGAAAGAGGAGAAAGGAAGGAAGAGGAGGAAGGAAGGAAGAGGAGGAAGGAAGGAAGAGGAGGAAGGAAGGAACAGGAGGAAGAAAGAAAGAGGTGGAAGAAAGAAAGAGGTGGAAGAAAGAAAGAGGTGGAAGAAAGAAAGAGGTGGAAGAAAGAAAGAGGTGGAAGAAAGAAAGAGGTGGAAGAAAGAATTGTCACGAGACGATCTCAGTGATTCCAGAAGTTAGTACTTGTAATAAGTTCTTCTGGTTCTAAAGAGACAGAATTATATTTACTCTGCGCTTTATCCTAATATTGCTTTAAACCGCACGGATTTAAATTGTTACCAGTCCTTCTTCGAGACAAGCCACTGCGCTTTGTTTAAAATTACCCAACACTACGTAATATAGCCCGCTGGTTCAGACTAGGGATGTTAGATTGCATTCTCACGCCAGTGTCAGAATGTTATCTCCTGACCAGACTGTAGAGACTGAGGGGGGCCCTTTTGACCAGGTAAATTGAGTGGACGCTAGACATTGTGGAGCCCAGAGGTCAGAGTTTCACACGTCAGTGTATTTCGGGGGAGAACAGTTGTGTGGCAATTAGGACTGTTTGATCTGGGTCAAGTAGGAAACACAATGGCTTCACTGAACGTCTTTTAACACCTGCCAGTTAGATTCGTTGTAAACTAGATTGGGTCACTTAAGAATGTTTGCTCTAGGGATGTCAGTCCAGAATTGAGTGACAGGTCACTGGTTAGCCAAGTGATCTGATAGTTACCTCAGGGGCGGTGCTTAAGCCATCATCTTGAGGGTTGGGTAAAAACTAAGGAAAGGGAGGAGTTTAATTTGGACAATAGATTGATACTTATACTTCGAGCCTGTGGAATTTCCGTCATTAATCGCAGCCTGCCGGCAAACAACACAGATCGACCTAAAAGGTAAATTTTACGGTCGCATTCTGTTTTGGCGATTAATGGAAAGTTCCCAGGTAAGAGAAAATATTAATTTTAATCTTGTATACTTAGGTTAGGGAGTTAAGCTTTTAGTCTATACTACCTTTTCCTAATTTGTCTGCACATTCTGCTTGAAATAGTTCTTTGTGAATGTTCAGTATCTCAGTTAGGGAACTGCTAAACTATTCCTATTTCTTGTATGTTTGTGTCACATGTTTTTCATTGTATGTTTTCATGTGTATAAAATAAGATGTGAACAATGACGTTTGCTATAATGAAATGTAATTATATTGTTTTCACGATCAGCCAAAATATGAGTTTGGACTGTGGGAAATGATGCCCAAATATGTGCAGGGATGTTGCTACGTTTTGTGTGCCCACCATGTGCTCACTTAATGTGTTCACCTGAACAGGGGATTTATAACCTCAGGGGAAGAATGATGGGTGTATAGAATTCACTGTCACTGAAAGATAATATTCAGGACAGCGTGCACATATAAATTGTTTGCGTTTTCAGCACATAACCTGCGCCACATGTGTATGTCAAATCTATGTCAGCCAGTTGTTGGAAGTCTGAGTGATGACGGACAACAGACTTAGAAAGTCAACTATCATGACATAGCATGAAGAGGGAAGGCAGGATATGTGACGCCCATGTAAGACAAAAGACCTTCAGACTAGACTGGAGAGGATGTGGAATTTCCGTCATTAATCGCAGCCTGCCGGCAAACAACACAGATCGACCTAAAAGGTAAATTTTACGGTCGCATTCTGTTTTGGCGATTAATGGAAAGTTCCCAGCGCCCATGTGACGATCAGTCCATGAAGTAGCCTACATTGTGTTAGACTTGGCCAGCTGGGAACGAGGTGGAGAACGAGGTGGAGAACGAGGTGGAGAACGAGGTGGGGATGAAGTGGAGAATAAGCTGAAACAGGCAGACAACAGGCAAGGAAGAGTTGGACAAGCTTGACATTTCCTCACGGCTGTCAGAGGCTTATAAGTTGAGTTAACCCCTTTATGTTAACCTATTATCATCATTATCATACCACTCTAACCCCCGAGCTGTTTTTCTCGCTGAAGCTTACCACCATCATCAAGTTAACCAGTCACTGTTTGTGTAAATCAACAAACTGGGAATTTCATTGTAGTAAATAAAGCTGTATGTCAAGTTTTAAACTACATAGTTTGTTAAATTCCAAATGTCTGTTCTTACATGTTTAATTAAACTGTTAAGATAGATTACCATTTGGTGGGGGCTCAAATAATATAATAATTCTTTAATTATTAATAATAACACCGGGAGAAGGTAGATGACGGAGGAATCACTTGCCCTGTCTAATAATTCATTAACATTAAGTATGATAGACATCTAAAATTCCTTGCCTTCTCTTGTGGGTACCAAGTTCAGCTAATGTTAATATACTTAACGAGCCAATATGGCTGTTTTCTTGGATATCCAGGACTTTGTCTGAGAGCAACATAGCTCAGATTTTAGTTCGGTGTATCTAGTGGAGAGAATGTGTTGAAAGGAAGATCCCTACTCAACAACATAAACTTTTAAACCACGCGTCACGTCACAAGAATGAAGTGGAAGAAAGAATGAGGTGGAAGAAAGAATGAGGTGGAAGAAAGAAAGAGGTGGAAGAAAGAAAGAGGTGGAAGAAAGAAAGAGGTGGAAGAAAGAAAGAGGTGGAAGAAAGAAAGAGGTGGAAGAGAAAAGAAAGGAGTGGAAAGAAAGAGGAAAGAAAGAGGTGGAAAGAAAGAGAGTGGAAGAAAGAAAGGTGGAAGAAAGAAAGAGGTGGAAGAAAGAAAGAGGTGGAAGAAAGAAAGAGGGTGGAAGAAAGAAAGAGGTGGAAGAAAGAAGAGGTGGAAGAACGAAAGAGGTGGAAGAACAGAAAGAGGTGGGAAGAAAGAAAGAGGTGGAAGAAAGAAAGAGGTGGAAGAAAGAAAGAGGTGGAAGAAAGAAAGAGGTGGAAGAAAAGAAAGAGGTGGAAGAAAGAAGAGGTGGAAGAAAGAAAGAGGTGGAAGAAAGAAAGAGGTGGAAGAAAGAAAGAGGGGTGGAAGAAAGAAAGAGGTGGAAGAAAGAAAGAGGTGGAAGAAAGAAGAGGGGTTGGAAGAAAGAAAGAGGTGGAAGAAAGAAAGAGGTGGAAGAAAGAAAGAGGTGGAAGAAAGAAAGAGGTGGAAGAAAGAAAGAGGTGGAAGAAAGAAAGAGGTGGAAGAAAGAAAGAGGTGGAAGAAAGAAAGAGGTGGAAGAAAGAAAGAGGTGGAAGAAAGAAAGAGGTGGAAGAAGGTGGAAGAAAGAAGGAGGTGGAAGAAGGTGGAAGAAAGAAGGAAGTGGAAGAAGGTGGAAGGAAGAAGGAAGTGGAAGAAGGTGGAAGGAAGAAGGAAGTGAAAGAAGGTGGAAGGAAGAAGGAAGTGAAAGAAGGTGGAAGGAAGAAGGAAGTGAAAGAAGGTGGAAGGAAGAAGGAAGTGAAAGAAGGTGGAAGGAAGAAGGAAGTGAAAGAAGATGGAAGGAAGAAGGAAGTGAAAGAAGAAGGAAGGTAGAAGAAGGAAGTAGAAGAAGGAAGTGGAAGAAAGAAGTAGAAGAAGGAAGTAGAAGAAGGAAGTAGAAGAAGGAAGTAGAAGAAGGAAGTAGAAGAAGGAAGTAGAAGAAGGAAGTAGAAGAAGGAAGTAGAAGAAGGAAGAAGAAGAAGGAAGAAGAAGAAGGAAGAAGAAGAAGGAAGAAGAAGAAGGAAGAAAAAGAAGGAAGAAGAAGAAGGAAGTAGAAGAAGGAAGTAGAAGAAGGAAGTAGAAGAAGGAAGAAGAAGAAGGAAGTAGAAGAAGGAAGTAGAAGAAGGAAGAAGAAGAAGGAAGTAGAAGAAGGAAGAAGAAGAAGGAAGTAGAAGAAGGAAGAAGGAAGTAGAAGAAAGAAGAAGGAAGTAGAAGAAAGAAGTAGGAAGTAGAAGAAAGAAGAAGGAAGTAGAAGAAAGAAGAAGGAAGTAGAAGAAAGAAGAAGGAAATAGAAGAAAGAAGAAGAAAGAAGAAGGAAGTAGAAGAAAGAAGAAGGAAGTAGAAGAAAGAAGAAGGAAGTAGAAGAAGGAAGTAGAAGAAGGAAGTAGAAGAAGGAAGTAGAAGAAAGAAGAAGAAGAAGGAAGTAGAAGAAGAAGGAAGTAGAAGAAGAAGGAAGTAGAAGAAGAAGGAAGTAGAAGGAAGTAGAAGAAAGAAGAAGAAGAAGGAAGTAGAAGAAAGAAGAAGAAGAAGGAAGTAGAAGAAAGAAGAAGAAGAAGGAAGTAGAAGAAAAAAGAAGAAGAAGGAAGTAGAAGAAAGAAGAAGAAGAAGGAAGTAGAAGAAAGAAGAAGAAGAAGGAAGTAGAAGAAAGAAGAAAAATGAAATGAAGAAGAAGCATCAGCAGTTATAGCGTAGGATGGTTTATGTATCTTAGACAGAATATTGGTTTATTGATAGATTCCATATTAGTTTTGTTATAATTGTTTGAAAGGTAAATTTAGAACACATTTTTTGTAACAGACCATACTCCTTTAGTTCCTTGCAGTTAATGCATAATCTGTGCAGTTTCCATTAAACAAGCAAATTTGATGTGACAACACATCATCAAGTTTGAAATGGCAGTCACTGTAGCCTTTCAGTGGCATGATAATCAGTTGTACACATGGCGTAATTGTAACTGACTCACAGAGCTTGTTGGGAAATGGGGATTTTGTGTGCTTTGTGCAGTGTCGTATGCATCGCCTCAGAAGTTCCGGGTAGTTAGTGTTCTTTGTTTATGTTTGCCAGAGCATACCGGTGTATTATAGACATGCGCACTTTGCAGAGCTAAGCAGACGCTCAAGCACGTATTGTCTGATTGCCGAAAAGCCCTAGGCTAGGGAATATACATTTGGCGCTACAACAAAGTCCTAAAAGCGTTAGCGGGCATTGTGGACCAAGTTAGGATAAGGGTCAATGTGAGGACTAGTCCTACTGTCACACCTCTGCGCTTCCTCGCGGTTGGGAAGATTTATAAAGGTAAAATCAGCAAAGTCGCATACGCTTCATCGATACTTGACTGTGTTAGAGACTGGTTACTGGCTGTCGACCTTTCTGGTTTCGAGAGGTACCAAAAGTTAATTTGGAAGACTGGCCTGTGACCTGACACAGTCCTACTCTATTCGGAAAAACGCCAGCTCACCCTGATTGAGCAAACCGTCCCTATGAGTCACAAATGGACGAAATCACATGTACAAGCTCGAAAAGTACTATGAGTTCGCGGCCGGTCTGAGGAGAAACGATGCGTACTCAGTAAAAATCTTCGCCATCGAGGTACACGTAAGATGTCTTATCTCGACCAATGTACAATGTGCTAAAGCAGCTAGGCTTGTGAGGAAACGGGCTCAAACGGTCACTAAACACCTTGGCGTAGTAACCGTTGCATAGTCACCATTTTATCTTGTCCCTGGCCGAGACCATCCGGTCAAGTGCAGCAGGAGAAAAATGAGGCATGTGGGTCATGACGCAGGTCAGCCCGCCCTCTGAAATTGTCTAGGAGTTCATTGGCCGAATCAGTTGGTGACGAGGTACCATCTACTCATGATCGGTGGACTCCTACTGTACAAGTTCCCCAGTGGAGTTCTTCTTATTATATAACTAGACTGATAGACTGACTGGTTCTACACTTAATGGCTAACTGTTGCTTGACAAGTAAGAGGTTGAAACCTCCCTTAGGGAACGAGTGAACAGTGCGGAGGCACAGGTCGATCATCAATGTCTAAGGACAAAGGTACTGCAATAAGTGAAGAGGGGATCTGCCGATAATCAACACACATTGGAAAGATGAGGTGGATATACAATAAGACTTTCTGGTATCATCAGAACTGGAACTCAGCGCTTGCTTTTGAAGACAGGGACAGAGCGCTTATTGGAATTTCTCGAGTTTTGTGATGTCAAATATTTGTTCAACATTAAAAAACAGAACTGATAGACAAAAATATCCCTAACTGAAGTATATTCCAACTAAAAAAAAAAAATTAGTTAAACAGGATATTGTTGCTTAAATTGTTAGTACTACTACAGAATGGAATCGTATATTCGGCCACAGCTCTGAAACGGTTCAGTGATTACTGGCTTTTTCAAATATTTGTTTAACATTAAAAAACAGAACTGAGAGACAAAAATATCCCTAACTGAAGTATATTCCAACTAAAAAAAAAAATTAGTTAAACAGGATATTGTTGCTTAAATTGTTAGTACTACTACAGAATGGAATCGTATATTCGGCCACAGCTCTGAAACGGTTCAGTGATTACTGGCTTTTTCAAAGCTGGCCACCGCCTATTTCCCCCTTCTGATCTACATGCGCCTAGATTTCCAGCGCTTCAAACTCATCGTGCACCAACCGATTACAAATTCAGGACGTTTTAAAAAATAACAGCGTGATCTAGAACTCGGCCGAAACCAGTATTGTACGTAGAACATGGTACTCAATGTGTAGTGGGTACATGAGAGTTTTTGTCGTTTTGTTTTTCATTACTCCCCCACCGCACCCCCCCCCCCCCCCCTCCCACACCCTTTAAATTTGATATCTGAATCTAATAGTGGAACCATATTTTAGGAAAATGATTCATACAATACGTTTTGTAATCTAACATTTCTTCTCTAGGTGTTGTTCGACCTTCTCCGGAACCTAAACAGTTAAATCAAGTAAAAGAATCAGCAAGGTAGTGTATTCTAGCTGTCACAAATGTAGTCGCTTCTTCTTCTTCTTCTTCTTCTTCTTTTTCTTCTTCTTCTTCTTCTTCTTCTTCTTCTTCTTCTTCTTCTTCTTCTTCTTCTTCTTCTTCTTCTTCTTCTTCTTCTTCTTCTTCTTTTCTTCTTCTTCTTATTCTTCTTCTTCTTCTTCTTCTTCTTCTCTTCTTCTTCTTCTTCTTCTTCTTCTTCTTCTTCTTCTTCTTTCTTCTTCTTCTTTCTTCTTCTTCTTCTTCTTTTTCTTCTATTTCTATTTTTCTTTTTTCTTCATTTTTTTCTTCTTCTTCTTCTTCTACTTCTTCTTCTTCTTCTTCTTCTTCTTCTTCTTCTTCTTCTTCTTCTTCTTCTTCTTCTTCTTCTTCTTCTTCTATTTCCTTCCTTCTTCTTCTTCTTCTTCTTCTTCTTCTTCTTCTTCTTCTTCTTCTTCTTCTTCTTCTTCTTCTCTTCTTCTTCTTCTCTTTTCTTCTTCTTCTTCTTCTTCTTCTTCTGCTTCTTCTTCTTCTTCTTCTTCTCCTTCTTCTTCTCCTTCTTCTTCTTCTATTTCTTCTTCCTTTTCTTCTTCTTCTTCTTCTTCTTCTTCTTCTTCTTCTTCTTCTTCTTCTTCTTCTTCTTCTTCTTCTTCTTCTTCTTCTTCTTCTTCTTCTTCTTCTTCTTCTTCTTCTTCTTCTCCTTCTTTTTCTTCTTCTTCTTCTTCTTCTTCTTCTTCTTCTTCTTCTTCTTCTTCTTCTTCTTCTTCTTCTTCTTCTTCTTCTTCTTCTTCTTCTTCTTCTTCTTCTTCTTCTTCTTCTTCTTCTTCTTCTTCTTCTTCTTCTTCTTCTTCTTCTATTTCTTCTTCCTTTTCTTCTTCTTCTTCTTCTTCTTCTTCTTCTTCTTCTTCTTCTTCTTCTTCTTCTTCTTTTTCTTGTTCTTCTTTTTCTTCTTCTTTTTTCTCTTCTTTTTCTTCTTTTTCTTCTTCTTCTTTTTCTTCTTCTTTTTCTTCTTCTTCTTCTTCTTCTTCTTCTTCTTCTTCTTCTTCTTCTTCTTCTTCTTCTTCTTCTTCTTCTTCTTTTTCTTTTTTCTTCTTCTTCTTCTTCTTCTTCTCTTCTTCTTCTTCTTCTTCTTCTTCTTCTTCTTCTTCTTCTTCTTCTTCTTCTTCTTCTTCTTCTTCTTCTTCTTCTTTCTCCTCCTCCTCCTCCTCCTCCTCCTCCTCCTCCTCCTCCTGCTCTCTGTGTGTACGTATAGTGTATTTGTGTGTCTGGATGTTTGTGTGTGTCTGTGTGTGTCTATGTATGTGTCTCTGTGCGTGGCTGTGTGTGTGGCTGTGTAAATGTATGTATGTTTCTATATATGTAATACCTATGTATGAATGTATGTGTATATTATGTGTGTCTGTGAATATATATATATATATATATATATATATATATATATATATATATATATATATATATATATGCGTATTGTTTTTCTGTATGTCTGTGTGTCTATGTATGAGTGCATGTAAGTACATTTGTGTGTGAGTGAGTGGGTGTGGACGAGTGTTTGTGTGTGTGTATGTATGTGTGTGTATTTGTGTGCCTGCCTGCGTCTGCACATGTATTTTACTATCCATGCTTGTGTGTGGGAAATGTGGGTGTTTGAAAGGGCCTAATATAAGACAGGCCTGCGTGTCTAATTTGTGACCCTTACAAAAAAGTTCGTTCGTTCTATCATTCGTGTAGAACTCATTGGTTCCACTGAACATTGCATGGCGTACTTGCAGTTTCTCATGCTACCTTTTCTTATTTTTTGTGGCGTTCACTGCCTGTAAACTCTAGTGAAAAGTTATGGCTGTTTGCCCATTTCTTAACTTTGATCTTGTTCTCTTTCGTTTTACATATCTTGTGCGTGTGTGGGTGTGTGGGTTTGTGTGTGTTTGGGTGTGTGTGGACTGTTTGTTCTTTGCTTCTCGTGCAGACGCACTCTGATTTCGAAGATTTTATCAATTAGTCGTCTTTTACGACTTGCTTTTTCGGAAGCGTTTTCTATTTCTGCCTAAATGTGGTGTCAGAAATCAGACGGGGACATGAGACCGTCGTCAGTGACCTGCCATTCTTGATAGGAAACTGAATGTGAACCTGTTTGAGAATTACGTTGGTAGTCGATCTACCAATAAACATTGAATGCCTTTTCGAATGACGCCGATAGAGCCGCTCATATGGAGCACACTCGTGTATAAAGGACGGAGTGGCCAGGCTTGACCAGTCAAACGGTGAGGGAATCACGTGAAATTTTTCTCCTCCTTGCTTTACTATTGCGAGTATGCATGCTCAGCTGGTACTTTGTTCTTGTAACTGATAATATTCTTACGTCACAGTTTCTGCGTCAGTGGCGGTAATTTGCTGCGAGCGTTAATTTTCATATGTTAATGCTCAGCACAAGCTCTGGGAGTTCCACGAGCGTCAACCTCGGGTGTATTTGTAATAAATTGAAAAAAATATATATTCAATAGTAAAATAATTTATTTGACATTTGCAATGGAAAGTTAAGCAGCTTTGACACCAGCTACATGCACGCTCACCACTGTAAAGGCGAGATGTTAACGACTAAACACAGATCACATTGATGCTTGATCTATATTGTTTGCATGTTTACAGTGACCTTGCTTCTGTGGATACTGAATCAGCAGTTGACTAGTCTACTCTCCATGTTGTTCACATGTGACAACTAAGGTAGAGAAGCTATTGTTTCATTTGTTTGCATGCGACAGTCTTGATAGAGTTGTCATTGTGTGATTCTTTCTTGCTGACAGTTTATTATTATAATGATTTTAATTTAAGTTACTTTATAGCTACATTCCTTATATATATATATATATATACACACACACATATATAATATACAAGGTACGACAATTAGGTAATGAGACTGATTTTATTATGGCCAAGACAAAAACGATAAAAATGAAGCAAAGCATGAAATTCAAACAGGCAACCTTCATCTATGATCTGGCAACTTTGCATCGCCGCCTGATAAGCAGACGACAAACAAGCCGCCATTTTATGAACTAGTTAGATGTGCATTGTTACGAAATCAGCATGGAGCAAACAGATAACATTAAATTCTGTTTAAAACTCGGAAAAAGTGTCACTGAGACAGTTGAATCGATGCGACAAGTTTATGGAGATCATTGTTCATCTCGTGGACATATTTTCAGATGGTATTCACATTTTCAAAAGTTGTTTTGAAATTATACATAATGCAAATAGATCTGGACGCCCTGTTTCTGTTTGTAATGAAGAACTCATTGCAAAGGTCAGGGAACAGATACAAGAAAATAGATGTTTGACTGTAGTGGATAAATTTGATGTTAATAGAAAAACCATACGTACAATTTCAGTAGCAGATTTAGGCAAGAAAAAAGATGCATGCCGGCTTGTACCACATTCCTTGTCTAATGACCAAAAACAAAAGATATCATCAAAACGTGTCACATAAAAAAAAGATTTCATAAATTTGATTGTTGCGAAGGATTAAACATAGATTTTCTGCTTTGATCCCATAACCAAACGCGAAAGTGCTCAGTAGAAGTTATCAACATCACCAAAAAGCAAAAAAAAAAAAAAAAAAAAATCGTCTTCAGAAGTCGAAAGTGAAGACAATGTTAGTGTGCTTCTACGACAGCAAAGTAGTTATTTACAAAGAACCTACTCCATAGGGACAGACTGTTACAGCCACAGTTTTTTTAAGTATTTTGAAACTTTAATTGAAAAGCATTCTCATAGTCCGACCCGAATATTGAACACCTGGCAATTGTTTCCTTCTTCACGACAATGCACCGGCTCAACGGGCGGTGGTTGTACATTAATTTTTGGCTCAAAAACAAGTGTGTGCTCAACAATCCACTCTACTCCCCTGATTTGTCTCCATGTGATTATTTTCTATACCTAAAATTAAAGTTACCATTGAAGGGACGGGTCTTTGACAATACTGATGACATCCAAAGGGCCGTAACATCGACTTAAGGGGTCATAACAACAGACAAACTAATGAGGGATAGCTGTTTCGGGTTTTAAGCTCTAGTCAGTCTGGTGTAGACGAGGGCGCCACCGGTTGCCTCTGACAATGGAAAACAATGTTCCAATGTTACCGATGAGCTAACTCTCTCCCTAAGCTGGGCAGTCCCGGCTAATGAAGTCTTGATTCGCCAAGGCCTGTGTGCTTCACTTTGTGTGAATACTTCTCAGAAACAAGAACAGAACTCCAATGAACACTCTTGGTTAAATCGGAGACGCGAGAAATCCTGTTTAGTCCTTGTCACCAACATCTTGAGTGTCATCCTCAAAACCACAAACAGAAATGTTAGAAACATGTTTGAGGCATAAATAGGACAATAGACCCAACAATTAAAACGAAGTACTACTAGAGAATATGAATGGACAAATTATTACTGACAAGAATCAGCTAGACAGATGAGTGGAAAATCACCTGGAACTGTACTTAGTTGAAACTATAACAACAGACCACTTTTAATGTCATAAAGACGCTGCCAACACGAAACTGGGCATATTTCAAAATACTGTAGAATGTAGTCCTACTACTGATGAATGTGTTCCGGGAAAAGGACCCAGGAATATTTAAATATTTGATTTCTTCTCGAATTCCACTAACTCAGTTTCTTTTTTGCCCAATTCGCTAACATTCCAGGTTTAGAATAACTCCTGCCTGTCTCTGAATTTTCGCTTGCTGCTGTCATTAGTTTGTCGATGGTGCTCGTTTGTTGTCGTTCGCTTGCTATCGAAGACTGGTTTGTTTTTCGTGTGTGCGATGTGAGCGCTGTTTGAATTACGCCTTTTCTTCAACTTCCTCCATAATTCTTGAGCAATTATCCGTAAACAAATAAATTCCCTACCGGTTTGCTGGACCCGTCACAGGATCATCTATATTTGAACACACTGATGTTTGAAGATACACAAAAACACACATTTTGTCCCACAGAATGTTAACAGACTTTCGTTTACTCCGCCATATTGAATATATTCAACAACAATGAGCAGAATAACAAAAACATTTTGGAATTAGTCTTTCAGTATATGGATTCCTTCCCTGTTCTTTTATTATTGTCAATTTCATCCCATAAAGCCTTCACCATTTCAGTTTTATCAAATAGTATCTCACCGCTAAGAATAATGGCGTCAGCCAGTCAAAAAGTCTGCTCGTTACCTCACACACCTGAATAACCTGAGCAGAAAAGTCCTGGTATGCTCTTGGTCTGGCCATTGTCACGTTGTGCAAGCTATTTTACCTGGGGGACACCTGTTTCAATTCTCCGATACTTGCTCTCATAACATGCTGGAATGTTCTGTTCTCTAGACATTGGAAAGCTAAAGTTACTACCCCCACCTCCATTCGCATACTTAATGTAGTGACCTTTTATATGAGGCTCTGTTTCCAAGCAGTGTCCATTAACGTTTGCAGTAAAACTCCATCCACTCTTCTTTCCCTCTCACCTAAACTTATCTGTGTATATTATGATGCCAGACGGGCGTAAAATTTCCATTGATCACATGTGGCACTGCTGCCTCTATCTTACCAGCTTTCCATTACCGGCACCCGCAGCCCAAATTAACTATCACTCAGTGCAGGTCTGCTCTGCTGGGCGGCCCTGTAATCCTTTCTTCACCCCTAGCTATCTTGTCAGTAGCACAAACAGTTATGATCGTGACTTCTACCTATGCCATCCAAGAGCCACATATTTTCGCTTTTGTCCCTGGTTATCCTCGTAAGCCTCATGCAGAAGGTGTTCCTTGTCCGTTTTGATTTAAGATACAATTTCACAAGCAAAACCGTGCATCTCTCATATACGGATGACATTGAAAATATGTGCCACATGGACACAATTGGTGTGTCTCATATACACCCCAAAATGACTCACATGGCTTGAATTGTGTATGCGTTCCGACTTCTCTATATGAGTACGAAGTAATGTTAGCCGTCCTAAATCATACTTAATCAAGAGGGGTGGTGGTAGGAAAGGGGGGGGGGGGAAATCAGTTGCCGGTAGAGTGTATAAAGTATTTAATGTTCTTTGTTGGTTGATGTCATCGCCTTTAGAACATTGAGTCCTTTCTCTTTCCTTATAACTACGTCTTCCACATGGTGTTTGAAAGACAGACTTCTGTCAAAAGTACTCCCTTTATATCCCATTTGTAATAATGACGTTTACTGTGATGTCTGACAACACTTTTCTTACCATTTTATTATTTAAAGTACACCACATACACTGCCTTATCTGGTTTGATGACCTGCCAGTTTCCTCACACCACTCACCGACCTCATCTTCTGCGAACAACATTTCTCTAGATATTGTTTTCCCCCTTTATAAAGAAAAAGACATGGTCAGCATAGGTCAAGATTCCATGCCGAAGTCTCTATTGCCGTTCATACATGACTGCTACAATCCAGCTGACAATCCAGGGACTGACCTTCATACCTATGTTTGTTTTAGTATCCAGAAGCCATGATTTGTTAGCTCTTAGGCTCGGTATTATGGATATCGCAACCCTTCGGCCTTGATTCCATGATAAATACCATCAATCGTGAAGAAATGTGGCTTTCCTGCCTATCCCCGGGAGTGAACCCGGACCACAAGGGATTCGTCACCCGGTCGCCGCTCATTCCGGTTTCGCCAACTAAGCTAGAGAGCCAGGCACCTCCATACCTATACGCTTTTACAGTAAAATGTCATATCTAATCCTGTGATAAAATCTGTTAAACCTAGTAGCACCACCACTGTTTTATATTTATGTTGAAACCCTCAAATACTTTATAATACATGATCGAGGTGTTTTCCCACATGTCCTTTCTTGATCGGTTACTTCCTAACCCTCTCGGTTAGAGTCTATATGTTTCAAGGCAGAAAAGACAGGATCTGAGCACCCGAGAAGAAACATACTAAATACATACGAGCTCCAAAATTGCTGAAATCTCATTCGCCTGTTGTTTAAGACTTTTATTAACTTTAACGGTTCTTTTTATGTCACCCTCGTCGTCGCCATGCGTGGTAAACGTTATGCCTTCTCACTGCCGGATGTGACAAAATCTGCTAGAAAGATGGAAAGGTGTTAACAACACCGTTAAACACGTTCCTTTTTTCTGTATCAAAAGCTGTACTTTGTTGTGGTCGCTCGTGATGCTGTTGTTATGTTCCATGTTTTTTATGTTGTTTACACAACCATATTTAGGGTACTGTGATTATCGGAATTCAATTACAGCTGCCAACTTGAATGCAGTACACGGACACAAAGTTTGTTAGAATCATAAATTATAACAAGCATTTAATGAGTTACTACACTATTTATTCAGGACCTCAGCTGATCATACTTGCAAACGGGTGATTTGAGTTGGGTCAAGAATTGACATCACAGAACTCGGGACATTCCCATGCATGCTCCGTCCTCATCTTCGGCAGCCAGCGCAGAGTTCCAATACTGATGGTACCGGTCACAATCTGGTTAAAAGTCCGTCTTGCCTTTCCTCTGAGTTTAGTGAGCCTGCCAGACCCTCTGGTTACACCCAGGTGCCTCATTCTCTCCAGGCCAAACTAATCTTCTTTCTCTACTGATTCCGTTGCTTGTTTCCAAAGGGCCTTGATCACATCTGCCTTGGCATGTATCAATTTACCACCCTGTCAATCT